AAATGGGGTTACATGATCTCCCACTTGTTGAGTCTTCAGGACTGCGTGATAGGGAGTGGAAGGCGCTCACAGTGGCTCCCACAGAGCCTGAGGTATCAGTGACTGTGAAAGGAGGACTGTGATTGCAGACGGCCTCTCCAGGCATCCGGCACAGTGAGAAGGGCCCTCATGGGAGCTGCTGCACGGGGTCCCAGGCTGCGCTTCTGAGCTCTGTGCTCCAGACTGGGGTTACCGTGACTTCTCCCATCAGCCCCTTAAGTCTCTCCTTAAACTGTTTATTAAGACACTCACTGAACCCCGCAGCAAATCTGGGGCTACCATCAGATGCAGTGAATTTGAAACCCAAAAAGGAAGTAAACTTGGTAAGATGGAGCCTGAGAGTGTGACTTGCATTGGGGGAACCCATGAGGATGGCCAGACCAGACCCCAAGAAAGTGTCAGGGTCCAGTAAAGCCCTCTGGATGGGATGAGAAGCCCAGCGAGATCCACCTGTTGAGTACATCCTGGCACAGGAGCCTGTCCTGGGCAGTGTTTTCTACCTTGTCCAGCATCTGGAAAGCGGGACAGCTTTCCTCAATATTTCAGCCCCTTCTGACAACATGGCAGCACATGCATGTGGGTCCAGCCTGGGATAGTGTCAGTCTCCACAGCATCCTGTCCTGGATCCAGAAGGGGTCGAGCATGTCTCTTGCTTTGGATGGGGACAGTTCCAGACTCTTTAGTGAGCATCCACACAGCTGACATCAGTCTTATTAGGAACAGAACTTGGTTCCGTCCAAATGTGTCACCCCCACGGGGGGCTTGTTTTATATGTTTGAAGCTTGCTGTGGGGTCAGCTGTAGTTCATGAGGCGAGAGACTAAGCGTCCTCAGCATGCCTCTGTGTTCCAACCCTGACCGTGGCAGTCTCCACAATCTCCGTCACGGCTGGGGGTGGAAGCAAGCAGGGGCACACAGACACTGCATCAGTGCCAGTTGCACACTCGGTAATGGGGCCCAGGATAGTTGTCTTTGGAGCTGGTGGCACCCTTAAGGCTGGGTGTTGGGTTTGGGGTGGGAGGGCAACTTCCGCCCTATGACCTGTCAGGTAGAGCCTTTGTAATTGCTTGTGGTTAAGCCTGAAAAATTCTGAGCTGGAGTTCTTAAACGAGTTTTAAAACATGTATAAATTCATGTAATTAACCTCACAGTCAGGACTCAGAATAGTTCTCTCTCCCGAAAGAGTCCTGGGTGTCACCTTCTGCATCCCTAACCTCTGGCAATCACTGATCTGTTCTCTGTCTCCATAGTCTTGCCTTTGCCAGAATGTTAGATGATGTAACTATGAGTGTATAATCTTTCATACTGACTTTTTTACTCATTCTTCAGTAGTTTGTCCCTTTTTCAAAAGATGCAAACTCCCTGATGGATTTCAGGGAAAAGTTCTTTCTTTTTCTTTTAGCTGTGCTGGGTCTTCGTTGCTGCAGGCTTTTCTCTGGTTGTGGAAAGTGGGGGCTACTCTCTAGTTGCAGGGCAAAGACTTGTCACTGTGGTGGCTCAGAGCACAGGCTCTAGGCGCACAGGCTTCAGCAGTGGCAGCTCCCAGGCTCTAGAGCACAGGCTCTGTAGTTGTGGTGCACGGATTTGATTGCTCCTTGGCATATGGGATCTTCCTGGATCAGGGATCGAACCTGTGTCTCGTGCATTAGCGGGCAGGTTCCTTACCACTGAGCCACCAGGGAAGCCTGGTTTGTCCCCTTTCATTGCTCAGTGGCTTCACACAGTAGGGCCCATGTGTGGAGACACTGGTTTCCTGCTCTGTTCACTGGTGCACGACGTCCTGGTTGCCTCCAGTTCTTAATAGGCTGTGTTCATCTGCATATAGGTTTGAACATAAGTTTTTGGGTGAGTGTAAGTTTTCAGTTTGGGTAAATACCTACGAATGGTCTTCCTGGGTTATGTGGTAGGTCTTTGTTCAGCTTTATGAGAAGCTGTGAAAGTGCCGGGGTCCCTGCCCTGTGTTCCCACAGCATGAGCGGGAGTTGGTGTAGCTCTGCGTCCTCACTGTCATTTGTCAGTTCTGTTACTTTTTCATTTTAGCCATTCTGATAGGAATGTCGTAGCAACTCAGTGTCACTTTAATTTGCATTTCCCTATTGACAGATGATATTGAACATTTTTTCATATATTTTCCACCTTACATCTTTTTTGGTGAAGCATGTGATAAGATCTTTTGCCCATTTTTAAAATGATGTTACAGTTTTAGTGCTGTTAAGTCCCGTTAACATGCTTTTTCAGATAAGTGATTTGCAACCATTTTCACCTAGTGTGCGCCTTGTCTTTCCTTTCTCTTAACGGTGCCTTTCATAGAGAAAAAAAATACTAATTTTGAAATAGTTCAGTTTTATTAATTATTTCTTAAATGGACTGTGTGTATTCAGTGTTATGTCTAAAAATTCATTGCCAAATCCAATCACCCAGGTTGTCTGTTGTTTTCTCCTAGAAATTTCATTGTTTTGTGTTTTATTTTTAGGACTGTGTTCCTTTTAAAAAAAATCTGTTTATTTGTTTTGGGCTATGCTGGGTCTTTGTTGCTGTGTGGGCTTTTTTTCTAATTGTGTTGAGTTGGGGCTACTGTGTAGTTATGGTGCATGGACCTCTCATTGCGGTGGCTTCTCGTATTACTGAGCACAAGCCCTAGGGCTTGTAGGCTTTATAGCCTCAGCACGTGGGCTCAGTAGTTTCAGCTCCTGGGATCTAGAGTACAGGCTTTATATTTGTGGCACACAGGTTAGGCTGCCCCATGGTATGTGGAATCTTCCTGGATCAGGGATTGAACCAGTGTCTCTTGCATTGGCAGGCAGATTCTTTATCACTAAGCCACTAGGGAAGCCCTGTGATTCTTTTTGAGTTGATTTTTTGATAAGGTGTAGTGTGTATCAAGGTTTGTTCTTTTGCTTGTGGGTATCCACTTACTTTAGCTCACGTGCTGAAAACTCCCTGCTCTGAGGAATTGTATGTGCACCTCTCAAAAGCCAGGGAGCTTGCCTGTGGGGGTCCACTTCTGGGATTTCCATTCTTTTCTGGTCACCTACATATGTAACCTCTCACTGATACCACCTTGTTATTGTGTGCATTTGTAGGAAGTCCTGAAACCAGGTAATGTGAGTCCTGCAATGTTGCTGTTCTGTTTCCAAATTGTTTTGGATATTCTGGTTCCTTTGCCTTTTATCCCCATACTCTGAATGTACTTGTATCATGGCCTCTGTAATGCCTTATTGCCCCTGGCCAGAAAAGACTGAAAAGTATAGGAGAATATGATGTTTTTCTCCTTATCTTTCTATTTCTAGCACCTGTCATAGTTCCAGGCCCCTTAATTGCTGAAAAAAACATGCATTCTAAAGTATAGCTAGTTCCGACTTCAGACCAGAACTGCTCAAAGGGAGGAGAGTGTTCTAGAAAGGTTGATGTGATTTTGGTTCTGACAGTGACTGAGAACCATTCCTGTCACTTAGCAGGTAGTGAGCTGGCACATTGTGAAGGCCTTGCACCGTATGGGGCAGACGTGCTCAGCTAAGTGGTTTAGTTGCTCAGTCTTGTCCAAGTCTTTGTGACCCCATGGACTGTAGCCCACTAGGCACCTCTGTCCGCTGGAGTGGTTTGCCATTTCCTTCTCCAGGTAATTTTCTTGACCCAGGGATCAAACCCATATCTCCTGTGTCTCCTGCATTGCAGGCGGATTCTTTACCCACTGACCTCTTGGGGGAGCCCTTGCTTAGCTAAGAATTGTTCCCAAATCCCAGTGGCACCTTCTTTGAGAAACACTGCTTGTTTAAAAACAGCCTATTCCAACTTCTTATCCTATGGGTAGATCGGTGGATAAGTTTATGAAATCATAATGATGCATATTTTAGTAACTCTTTTGTTTTCTCTCAAAGTATAATAATGCAAGATTAGGATATCATTTTACTGTGTAGAGAAAATTATCCCAAATCTCAGTAGCTGAATTTTAAACATTTATCTCAGTTTCTGTGAGTTAGGAATCTGCCGGTGGCTCACCCATTTGGTTCTAGTGGAGAATCTCACATGATCCTGTCTTCAAAATGTTGAGAAGGGCTGTGGTATGAAGGTAACATCCTCCAAGCTCACTCACATGGGTGTTGGCAGACCTCTGGTCCTTGCCATGTAGGCTTGTCCACAGAACTGCCTCACCACGTGGCCCCTGGACTTCCCCCAAAGAGAGCAGGAGAGCGTTCCCAAGGTAGAAATCACATTCTTTTACAACCTGGTCTTGGAAGGGAGATCCCTTACTTCCACCCTATTCCATTCAGTGGAATTGAGTTGATAAATCCAGCCCGTATTCAGGACATGGGGCAGTGTGGATTAAACAAAAGCACAATTCCAGGACCTGGAGATCATGGGTCCAGCTTTCAGGCCACCTGTTGCTGTAGAAAAGAAAGCCTACATTCAGCAAAGAGAATGACTTCAGATTTAACAGGGATTGTGCTTTTTTAGATATCGTTTGAAGATGTGGCTGTGAATTTCACATTGGAGGAGTGGCAGCTGCTTAATCCTACTCAGAAGATCTTGTACAGAGACGTGATGTTGGAGAACTATAGCAATCTAGTTTTATTGGGTAAGAACATTCTTATGTAGTACAGTGTGTACCCGGTAACTGGATATGGGCATACCTCTAAAATATTACTGACTTTGGATTTAAGTTTCAGATGTCAAAGAGTCTTTGATTTTGACACCCAAGTGAAAGGTTTTTTATTTGCTTGCTTTGTTTTATAGCCTCTGAGGTGAAATAGTCTTCATATTTAAGAGTCCCCTCAGCCCAAGCAATTGGGACTCTCTGTGTTTCCGATTGACAGGTTATCAAGTTATCAAACCTGAGATGATCTTCAAGCTGGAACAAGAAAAGCCATGGTTATTAGATGAAGAAATCCTAAGTCAAAACTTCTCAGGTGAGAAATAATCAGCTTAGTGGCTGACAGAGAAAATTAAATTTCAGGTTTTTGATGATACATTGGTACTTTTGAAATGTTATTTGTAAAACTCAGGTTAAAGCTTCTCCATCTTGGGAGTTGACTCATGACTCTGTGTCCTGGTCTCCACATCAGGATGTGTCCCCTTTGGTGGAGCGCTCAGGTTAAAGCTTCTCCATCTTTGGAGTTGACTCAGGACTCTGTGTCCTGGTCTCCACATCAGGATGTGTCCCCTTTGGTGGAGCTGGTCATGAAATGTGCTTGCGTTCTTGATCAGACCTTTCTTTGAATTTCCCCAGTTGACTTTTTCTTCTCCTGCCCCAGTCCCACCTGCAGAGGTAGGCTTCTTTTCTCCTATTTAAGAATTCATAATTTTTTTCCCGTTTTAGGTGATGCTGTTACCTTTGAATTTCCTTTATTATTTTTCTTTTCATTCCCTAATTTATCAAATTTCTGTTTCAAACCCACATAGAGTAGACGGTGAGTCCATGGACAGAGGATAGAAGTCTAATGCCTAAAAGCATTCTTCTTGCCTCCTTGCAGATAAGAACTTCAGGGTCAGCGTCCAGGGCGTCTTTCTGGTGCCTTTGGTATTTAGCTTCTAAAGCTTCTTGTTTATCCCTTCAAATAGTCTGTGGGGGTTTAAGACTTGCTGTGTGATATTTTGCCTCCATTTGAGTTGAGGACCCTCACAGTGTGGCAGCATCTTATCTGTGCAGTTTTTTCCTGTGCCCAGAGGTCACAGTTGACTCCAGTTGAAGAAATTCCTTCCTTCTGTCTTTCACATATGTTTCTCTGAATGTAGGCTTTTGTACGCACTTTTTCAATTAGACACCCTCCCCCTCTTTAAGCTCTCTTTTTTCACTTCCGCAGTGTTTCTTGACTCCCAGCCTTTTCTGAAATCTCTACCTACTGAGCAGTATTATAGGAACCTGGGCCTGATCACACATTATCTATAATTTCTTAACTAATTAGGTCTTGAGGTTTTTTTCCTACATAGAAAGATGGTAACTAACTTATTATTCTCAGTTCTCTATGACATTTATGCTGTGTAATTACTAAATATTTCATTAATTGGTTGTTGTGAGGCCAGGTAAAGCAGGATCCTACTTATTTATCAAATAATTTCTTTAGTACAAAGGTTTTCATCTAAGTAAGTGTTTCAGCTTATTTGGGAAAATACTTCAAATTACAGATGTCTGGGTACCATTCATATGGATGATTAGGACTGGGTATGCATAGTTTGGAAAAGCTGTCAAGATAGACTTTATGTTCCTCCATTAATTTAGAACCACTGCTATTTTGTGAAATGAGAGGAGTTGAGATAAAGTATAAGTCATGAAATAACATTGCAGGGCCAGGGAATTTTAATTTAGAAGAAAATACAAAATAATTCATTGTTTGAACATGATGCATTTGTGTCAAAATGCAAAGTTAATTATCAGGATTAACTATATGGAAAGGAATTGCTTTAGAAGTTTAATAATAAGTGAATAAGATTGTATTGAGGGCTTGTTATGTACTATGTAGTGGGAGTACATCAGTGAAAAACTCAAACCTGTTCCCTACCTTCATTACATTCCAGTGGGAGAGGCAGAAGTAAGGTGATTACCTATCTGATAAGTGCTATGAAGAGAACAAACAGAGTGTTTGTTAGTGTGCCCTTAAAATGATATGAAACAGGCATACTGGAAGCTGGGTAGGGAGAGGCTTTTGGGGTCAGTGGGGCAGGGAGGAACTCAGTGTTGTGAGAGGAAGCTGAGGGCTAGAAGGAGCCAGGCATGCAGGGGTGTGTATGCTGTGTTAATAGCACAGATTTATCAAAGGTTTTTAAGCAAGAGGTTTAAGCACAAGGTCAGAGTACATTTTCTAAAGATTGCTGTGTGTAGACTAGAATTGGGAGGGCATGACCCTGGAAGTGGGAATATCAACTGAAAAACAGGATTAAATGAAGGCTGAATGGATCAGAGTGTAATGGAAACAGAGACGTGGGGAAACAGACCTGTACCCCTACCAAGGGTGATACTAGTAAAACATGGTCTATGTGTTTACCAAAGTGCCAAGATTTTTTAAAAATTTCTTTAATATTTTTTTGGTACAGTTTAACCTCAGTATGGTTTTATATCATTTAACTTATTAATTTGGATATGTATCTTAATCTTATTTCTCGATTTGAATTAAAATTTATTTTTCTTTACTCTTACATTTCATGAAACAATTTTTTATAAACTCTTCAAGAGTATCTCACACTTAGATGTCTGTGAGACATATAAGTGTCTCACACTTATATGAGATACTTATACAAGTGATATCTAACTTCCCTCTCTAGTCTTTAAAATGCCCATGAACAGTGTTATCGTCTTGTACTCACTGAAGCTCAAAATGTTGAATATTTTTTTTCTCCTCCATATCCTCCAGCTCTAGTTAGCTCTTCCTCTGAAATTCTGATATATCTGAGAGTTGTTAGATGGGGCTTTTTCCCTCCCCAGAGAAATTATCCTACAAAAAAGGAGTGATTGCTTTATATTTGAGATCTTGCCATATTTTTTTCATCTTGAGAGTATTACCTCACAATTCCTAGTAAAGAATATCATAAAGTAAACAGGCTTAAGAGATCATTAAGGGAGATCACAGATAACTGTACTTAGAGGGTAAAAAAGAAAACTGTCCTAATGTTATGCAAAGCATACTTGTGGTTTCAAGTAATTTACATCATATACAGATTCATTATATAGATGATGATTCATTTAAAGTATCAGAAACCTTAATAAAGGTGTTGATGATGAGCTCTGGAGAACTCTTAGATAATTCCAAAAAGTAGTTCTCATGATGGTGAAATTAACAGATATCAGTGATTTGGGTGATGATTTTGAATGAGGATGCTTTTTGAATGTGCTGATAGTACAGAAAACTAACATATCTCACCTTTTAGACATGAAAGTTGATATCCTGTGTTTGCTGTCATTGTATTCAGTGTTTCTTCCTATGTGACATTCAGCACTATGTACTAATCTTGCTTTTCTCTGTCCTGTGATACTCAGTCTTCTCTCATGGGAGTACCTACTTGCCTTTTTCTGATTTCTGCTAATAATGTCTGGGCATGTAGAAGATAATCAGGTTATTGTGGAATGAGTACAGTGTTTGATTAGAAATTGCTTGTCTTTTTTATCTCATCATGATCACTTGAATATATTTCACCTTTATTTTAAAGTTTGTGTTTATAAACATTTGTAATTTCAGAATCTGTTTTCATTTCTATTAAAAAGTTCAATGCCTAATGAGTAGATATTGTATTTGGGAGAATTTTTTTTTTTTTTAAATGGACTGGGCTCTTAGGCTCCATTTCCGAAGATTTGTTCAATAAGCTTAATGATTAGGGAAATTTACACAGTATGGTTCATTTTTTCCTTTTTAGAAAAAGTCTGGCTAGATAATGATCTCAAAATGTGGCACCAGGATAATCAAGACAAGCTTAAAAGTTTGGAGAGAGGCCATGAATATGACATCTTTGAGAGAATGTTTCATTTAGGCATTAACTTTGATCGTTTAGGAATGAGATCCCATAAATGTGGCACAGGTGAAAAAAGTTTGAAACATCCTTTTGATTTTCTTATTCCAAAAAGTAACTGTGAAAGAAAGAAACTTGATGAGCTTAATAGGAAATTATTATTTTGTATTAAACCTCCCAGAATTTATGGTGGAATAAAATACTCTGATGGCAATACATGTACAACAGTCATCAGTAAAGAGCCAGGAGTCATTATGAACCATATACCACTCACAGGAGTCTGTTTGTGCATGGAATGTGGCAAGGTTTTTAATAAAAAGTCACAGCTCATTATACATCAAAGAACTCATACAGGAGAGAAGCCCTATGGATGCCAGGACTGTGGGAAAGCTTTCTCCCAGAAGTCATTGCTCACTATTCATCAAAGGACGCATTCAGGAGAAAAACCATATGGGTGTGGGGAATGTCAGAAAGCTTTCAGTAGGAAGTCACTACTCATTTTACATCAGAGAACTCACACAGGAGAGAAGCCCTATGGCTGTGGTGACTGCGGGAAAGCCTTCAGCAGGAAGTCACAGCTTAAAAGACATCAGGTAACCCATACGATAGAGAAACCCTATGGCTGCAGTGAGTGTGGGAAAGTCTTCTCCCAGAAATTAAAGCTCATTACACATCAGAGGACACACACAGGAGAGAAGCCCTACAGATGTAGTGATTGTGGAAAAGCCTTCTTTTGGAAGTCACAGCTTATTACTCATCAGAGGGTTCATACGGGGAAGAAGCCATATGCATGTAGTGAGTGTAAAAAAGCCTTCAGCAGGAACTCACTCCTCATTAGGCATCAGAGGATCCATACAGGAGAGAAACCCTATGAATGCAGTGAATGTGGTGAAGCCTTCATCAGAAAACCACAACTTGTTAAACATCAAATGACTCATACAGGAGAGAAGAACTATCAGTGCAGTAATTGTGAGGAAGCCTTCTTTAAGAAGTCAGAACTAATTAAACATCAGAAAGTTCATTTAGGAGAAAAACCCTATGGATGTGTTGAATGTGGCAAAACCTTCTTTGGAAAGTCACAGCTCCTGACACATCAAAGAACTCACACTGGAGAGAAACCTTACGAATGTAGTGCCTGTGGGAAAGCCTTCACCCAGAAGTCCAGCCTGGTGTCCCATCAGAGGACACATACAGGGGAGAAACCTTATGAATGCAGTGAATGTGGGAAAACCTTCAGTGAGAAGTCAAGTCTCATTCACCATCAGAGAACCCATACTGGAGAAAAACCGTTCGAATGTGGTGAATGTAGGAAAGCTTTTGCCTGGAAGCCACAGCTTCTTAGGCATCAGAGAATTCATACAGGGGAGAAACCCTATGAATGCAGTGAATGTGGAAAGGCATTTGTTCAGAAAGTACAGCTCATTAAACATCAGAGAAATCATACAGGAGAGAAGACCTATGGATGCAATGATTGTGCAAAAGCTTTCTTTGAGAAGGCACAGCTCATTATACATCAGAGAATTCATACAGGAGAGAGACCCTATAAATGTGAGGAATGTGGGAAGTCTTTCACTAGGAAGTCACACCTTATGAGGCATCAGAGGATCCATACAGGGGATAAGTACTATGGATGCAGTGAATGTGGGACTGTCTTCCACAGAAAGGCGCAGCTCCTGATTCATCAGAGAAGTCATGTGCTGTAGACATGGGGTGTGTGGGGAGTCTGCCATCAGATGGCAGGCCCCTGACACTCTAAGGACATGTATGGGAGAGAAACTCTGTCACTGCAGTGACTGTCTCACCACATAGAATTTAGAAAGAGAACCTTTTTTTTGTTAAGTAGATGGTATAGGAAAGTCTCCTCCCAGGAAACACAACTTGTGACTTATCAATGGCTCCTCAGTGTGAAACTCTTATCAGTATTGTGATAAGTATAGACCTTTCAGTCAAAAGTGCTGGGCTATTAAATTTTAGAAGACTGAAACAGGAGAAAAACTCAATTGTAACAAGTGAGTGAAAATTTCATTGGGAAATGGTAGCTCAGAGTATGCTAGAGAATACATACCCAAAGGAAATAACTGAGTATTATATACTAGAGGTCTCATGCAGAGGAGTAGTCCTAGTACTTTGAAGAATTTGATAAGCATGATCCCTGTTGAAATAATTCTTTAAGGAGGTTATGTTTACTGTATATAAGTTATTATAAGAAAACAGGCATTTTAAAGTGGTAGCTGTGTTTGAAGTGTGAAGACTTCTGCTTTCTGCTAGGGTGGTAAAATAAGAACCACATAAACTCTCCTGCTTTAAACAGCTAGAAACTACCATTTATGAAATAGTGGTTTTTAGACGTATGTCAAGTGCAAGTTTATGATCCCTGGCAGGAGGTGGACAAAGTGAGGACAGCCCCACGGCTGCCCAGCCTACTCCCCGGGAGCATTGTCAAGGCTGCAGGTCAGGGAGTTGAATGAACATGGTCTTGCTGAACTGAAGAGGGTTTCTGAGTCGGCATTTGAGGAGCCTCGGTAGCTAGAATTTGCAGATGAAGGGTGCTGGGTAAGAAGGAGCTTCCCAGAGAGGAGGCTGCGTAGATCCTCAGTGAGTCCCTCTTGAGTATTTGGCTTTAGTCCTTATTAGCCTGTGTGTGGAAGAGAACTGAGACTCTGAGAGCAGCTGCGCAGCTGGGAGCTAAACAAGCCCTGGAGCTTAGCATAGGCTGGGACAGTGTGTGTTCCCACCAGCCACTTGCAGGCAGCTTTTTGCACGGGGTCATCAAGAGGAGTTCCCAGAACAGTGTTGTCTTGGGGAGGGTGGAGAGTCACTTAACCTAGATTAAAAGCTACTCTGGACCCGCAGTGTCTGACATTCAGAAACTTCCCTGGCACACCAAGAGGCAGGAACATATGACTTGTAACTACAAGAAAAATCAGTTAATATAAAGAGGAAAGACTGAATTGATGGGAATTAGTAGACAAGTATGTTCAAATAGCTATTGTAAGTATAAAGTAGAAGAAAACATGAATTTGATGAAACCTGAAGTGTAAGATATACTTTTAAAAGCTCAAATGGAACTTCTCAGGTTGAAAACAACTCTGAAAAATAAAAAATAAAAAAAACCCAAATGGAATTAAGAACCTATTAGACATAGAAGAAGGAAAGAAATCAATGGATTTGAAGAGTAAGAATGAAAATTATCAAATGATATACACAGAGAATAACACTGGGGGGGGGGGAAAGGAGCACAGGAAATTAGTTAAAGTGGTGTAATACACATATAATGGAAGGTCTAGAGGAGAGAAGTGAGAGGGGGCAGAAAAGGGATTTGAATAAATGATGGCTGAAAAATACCCACATATGGTGAAAAGTATAAACGCACATATTCAAGAAGTTCAAAGAACCCAACACAGAAGAAACATAAAGATGCCAATGAACATCACAGTCAGTTGATGAAAACTGGAGTTAAAGAGAAGAATTGTTGGGAATTCCCTGGTGGCCCAGTGGCTGGGAGTCTGCCTTCCAATTCAGGGCGTGAAGTTTCGATCCCTTGTCGGGAAACTGAGATCCCCTGTGACGTGTGGCACAGTCAAAAAAAAAAATTTTTTTTTTTAAATTGAACAATTGTAAAATGCCTGAAGAAAAAAGGACAAGACACACCCACAGAGCAAAGAATAACAATATACTTCTGGTCAGAAACTATGCAAACTATAGACAGCAGAGTGACACTGTTAAATTACAAAAGAAAATAAAGAACCTCCCCTGCCCCACAGCCTGGAGTTCAATTGCTTGTCAAAAACATCTTTCAAAAATGAAAACAAAAAGGACTTCAAAAAAGCAAAATCAGAGAGAGTCCCTGCCGTCAGGAAACATTGAAGGAAGTTTGGGGACAGCAGGAGAACACTCTGGAAATGAAAGGTTCTGGAAATGGTGAATGCATGGATGAATATGAAAGATTTTTTTCTTTATTTTAAAATTCTTTAAAAAGGTAATGAACTGCTTAAAAACCAAAGTAATGACAGCGTACTTTGGGTTAAGATCTATTTAGAGGTAAAGTGCTACAGTAGTACTTAAGTACGAATCTATAAAGATAGTTGAAGAGACTTGTGTTGTCTGATTCAGAGATGTGGGATGACTTGTATCTATAGCAGCTACATGATGAAAAGTGTCTGTATTATGGATCTGTACATGTGCTCATGTTCTGGGTGTTTTCCATGTCCACACCATTTTCCTCCTTTCTCTGTGTGCCCAGAGGGAGTGCACTGCTTCCTAGGATTTCTGCTTAGGTTTGGACAGGCGAGGTCTGTGTCACCCCTGCCTCTCTCCTGCTGGCACACATCTGGGGCTGTCTGTCCATGTGGCTGAAGCTCCCATGTTCACCACAGACCCTCGCCCTGCTCATCAGACATAAGGGTGTTAACTGCTTCTGGGGGCTTCACCATCCTTGGTTGATTTTCTTAATTCTGGACACAGTTCTGTAAATAGTCTGTTTATTAAATATTCTTGAGTTAATAATTTTGAGTATAACATTTGTTACAAATGATGAACATTTGACCACATTTTGAGTATCAGTTACTGGTCCATGGGGCATAGGCTGACATCTGTTGAGATGTCTCACACTCAAGATCAGTATTTTCTCTTTGTGTTTTAATAAATCAGTAAAAATTATAAATTCTTTATGTGTTTTGTTTTGCTGCAAACATAAATGACTCTGGAGATTGTTACCATCTGCTCCATATGCTGGTGGTCTTGCAGCAATAGACTGAAACATCATGAGGTCTTTGTGCTACCTCTGGGTTGGTTGAATTTACAAGAAAGCATTTTTATTTTTGTTAACTATGTATGGACAAGAAAAAGGTAACCCATTACTGAGTGAAGAAAGAAAGGAATGATGTACTATACTTCCCTGTACTCATTTTAAAAACTTGTGCTGTGCAATTAAAATACTCTTATTCCATATTTGGCTTTTTTTTTTTATTATGTATAATTCACATAGTCTGTCATCTATACACATGATTTCCCATTTCAGGATTCAGAATCATCACCCCCAGAGAACCTCTTCAAAGGCTCCATACTAGATTCCATCACAGACACCATGCCAAATTGAAAATCAACTTTTCTAAGATTAAAACAGGGGTTCTTCAGGTATAGATTCATGTGTTCCTGTGTATGTATGTGTGTGCGCACGCTCAGGTGTGACTCTTTGTGACCCCATGGACTGTAGCCTCCCCAGGCGCCTCTGTCTATGGGATTTCCCAGGCAAGAAAACTGGAGTGGGTTGCCATTTTCTTTTCCAGGGGATCTTACCAACCCAGGGAGTGAACTGCATAGGCCGATGGATTCTTTATCACTGAGCCACTTGGTAAGCCCTAGCAGAAGCATGATAAGTTAGGCTGAAGCAGACTGTTAAAAGAGGCCAGCATAGACCCAATGTAGCACCCTCCCTGTCATTTATCAGATATCCTTTTTCACCCAGTCATTTTCTCCTACTGCACACAAACGGCTTGTCTGTAATAGTGCTCTGTAATCTGTTTTTGATAGTGAAATGGTTTCCCCCATTGAGATTCTCCCCTGACCCTTTATTGGCCACATAGTGAAGGGAAAAGCCCTTCTCACTCTGATTATCTTAGAAAATTCTGTCTCCTGATGTCTGTCTATAACTTAGAAGCAGGCAGTGTGACCTCGATATATCATGAGTAGCTCAGAAGAATGAAATGTAAGTTAAAGTATGCTTTTCTTCCACATGGCATGGATTCCTCCCAACACTCCATATCAAGTCACCTTGGTAAGTAGTGGATTTGTTCCAGGGCCAAGTCTGCAGATTTGGTGATACTATATGATTATTCTTTATTTTCTCTGTGGGCTCTTTGTAGCTTTTTTCACAATTATTACACAATTCATCCAGGCAGTCTTGACATCTTGTTATCAAGACTCTTTTAAAATGCTAAGATTAAATACACTAGGAACAAGTTTACTTAATGCCTGAATACCACATCATTATATTTAGATATTTGTGCATGTGTGCTCACTTGCTCAGTTGAGTCTGACTCTTTGTGACCCCATGAACTGTGGCCCTCCAGGCTCTTCTGTTCATGGGATTATCCAGGCAAGAATACTGGAGTAGGTTTACCATTTCCTCCTCCAGGGCATCTTCCCGACACAGGGATAAAACCCATATCTCCTGCATTGGCAGGTGAATTCTTTACCCCTGAGCCACCTGGGAAGTCCCCAAATCATTAAAGGTGCCCGGCAAAGATAATGTCACTGTGAAGCAGTGACTGGTGAGATGAAAAGGAGAGAGAAACACAAGTGAGGTGACGTTTGTAAATTGAAGGTCCCAATTAAAGCACTACTGTCATTTAAATTGTTCATTAAAAAACACATCAAGCTCAGACTCACAAAAAGATGTGCAAAGTGGATTAACTTTCATATGCTTGTTAGAGACCACATGAAGGGAACAATGAAACCAGAGATGCCGGCACTGCAGCCATCCAAAGTGGTATGGATGTGTCCCCAAACCATGACATCACCAGACAGTTCTGAGTGCCAAAGCAAACTGTATACTTTTGTCCTCCTGGGTATAGCAGATGAATAGAAAGCAGAGTGCATCCAGTGATGGTGATGTCTACAGTCAGGACTGTGTGCTCTGGTGCGAGGGTGGGGTCAGTGGTTGATGATGAAGCCAGTCCGCTGCCCCTTGTTGAGCAGCAGGCTCTGCCCTGACTTGGGGCATCCAGAGATCAGGGCTCATGGCTTTGTCAAATCATGCCTGCTGCTGACACTTCCTCTGTGCTGCATTTGAAAGGAAAACATCTGTACCCATATATATACTGAGTAAACAGTTTGATAAATTAATATGTGTGAGTGTGATCATTGGAAACAGTATAAACTCTAGTTTCCTTGCCAATGAGGTATTCCAAACAGTCTGCACTTGCACCACTTTCAAACCTGTCATGATGCGGATACACTTGTCACAGAGAAAAAGCAGTTGGTAGTGATGGTACGAGTTCATACTCTGCCCAGAGCTTAGCTCACCTGCATGGGACCTGGGGTCTGTACAGAGGAAAATAGTCTTTCTTTTACAAACTAATCTGGGGACTCCTCTAATCCCCTGAGTTTTAAAAGAGAAGGATAGGGCTTCCCTGGTTTCTTAGTGGTAAAGAATCTGCCTGCTAATGCAGGAAACATGGGTTTGATCCCTGATCCTGAAAGATTCCACCTGCCATGGAGCAAAACCTGTGTGCCACAACTATCGAGCCTGTGTTATAGGAGCCCGGGAACCACAACAAGAGAAGCCACTGAAATGAGAAGCCCACACATCACAGCTAGAGAGTAGCCTCCACTTGCTGCAACTAGAGAAAAGTCCAAGCAGCAACAAAGATGCAGCACAGCCAAAAATAAAAAATAAATAATTTTTTAAACAAGCTTAGAGCTTAGCTATTCCAAGAGCATGACTTTCAAGAAAAAAAGAGATGAGGCATATATAAGAAGGTTCACCCACACCTACCCTCCACCTTCTGAAGAGGATGGTCTGGATAGGGCCATAGAAAATTCAGGTTGGAAACTCATCAGATGCCAAATCCACATCCCCACTGAATATAGGGTAGTCTTGCCAGAGATGTCGTAGCTAGGCCCAGATCCCACATGCCACGTCTGGTGCTGTCCTGTCTTAATTTCCTTGCTAAATGCAAAAAGGCAAAATGGTTGTCTGAGGAGACCTTACAAATAGTTGAGAAAAGAAGTGAAAGGCAAAGGAGAAAAGGGAAGATGTGTCTATCTGATTGCAGAGTTCCAAAAAATAGCAAGAAGAGATGAGAAAGCCTTCCCAAGTGATCAATGCAAAGAAATGGAAACAATAGAATGGGAATGACTAGAGATCTCTTCAATAAAATTAGAGATACCAAGGGAATATTTCATGCAAAGATGGGCACAATAAAGAACAGAAACAGTATGGACCTAACAAAAGCAGGAAATATTAAGAAGAGGTGGCAAGAACACACAGAAGAACTATACAAAAAATGATCTTGACCCAGAGAACCATGATGGTGTGATCACTCACCTACAGCCAGACATACTGGAGTGCGAAGTTAATTGGGCCTTAGGAAGCATCACTGTGAACAAAGCTAGTGGAGGTGATGGAATTCCAACTGAGCTATTTCAAATCCTAAAAGATGATGCTGTTAAAAGTGCTGCACTCAATATGCCAGCAAGTTTGGAAAACTTAGCAGTGGCCACAGGACTGGAAAAGGTCAGTTTTCATTCCAATCCCAAAGAAAGGCAATGCCAAAGAATGTTCAAACTAC